TAATTTTCGCCCCTAGAGTTTACTGAGGCAACAGTCGGTTTCTACGTTTTAACTGGTGTATTCTTCACTCTTTTAAAAGTGTATTATAAAGTTGGGGCGTAACTTAAACACTCACATCTTGTCCCTCAGTGAATGAAGGGAATAAGTAACTCGCAATTTCCGTCACACGCGACTACTACTACGGCTAGCAGGATAAACTATGCTGCGTGGTGCCCCGCTACGATATAGAAGTTCGGCAATGAGTGTCACTGGAGGGAACATGCCATGGGCAAATTTTACAAAATAGAGGTGACTGCTTAACAGCGACAAGGTAGTATGTCATACCGAACTAACTCTTCTTCGTTCGTCTTGCTTCATTTACCTATCCATCACTAGACTGGCCTACACGATACATTAGCACTGTCAATAGAAATGAGTGGAATACCTACTAGCAGGGTACAGATACCAACAAATACTGCCAAACATTTGTACAAGTGCGCTGCCCGTTAAGCTGCTACGCTGGTTCTGCCATCCCTTTTCCCGGTCCCTATTGGTGGTACATTGTATTGCGTTACAGGAGACTTCTGTGTTGGTAGAAAGCAAAGAAACAAACGGTAATGCGGCTAAGAGGGGGTCGTCTCGAAGTATGGTTTGTGGGAATGGATTACGGCATGAAATCTCAATCAAGACCGCGGCCTACTGTGATGCGAACATTGATAAATGATTATCAGATGTTGTCCGCCCGAAAACACTACGCTGCATGGTCGGTTTCTTGGGCGTTTGCACTCGTCAGGGAGGGTTAACAGGACTGAGACTCGACCCCAGGACCCATGGGATCCTACCCAGTCCCACTACTTCTAAGTCAGTAATAACTATATGAGCACCAACGTGCAAGCGTCGTGATGAAGGTTGCAAACAGATGCTGGGTAGCCGAACTACTACAGTGCTGTCTTCATCATTAAATGGTCGCTCAACGCAGATCATGAAGCACTTGGGCATCGACCTTTGGTTGTCGTTGAGACTTTGAGGTCACTGAACCTTGCCGCTTTGAAACGTCTCCTACACCGAACAGCGAAAACAAATTTGCTTATTAATCTTAGGCTGGTCGTTTGTGCAGCAGGTGGTATCGCGTCACCCGCACATATCACCGAGCCCCGGTATCTGATGGTGCACGGGTGCCCACAGCATGCAAAGGTGAGGAGTCGGGTCCCGTCACCACAAACAATTGTGAACGACACTATAACAACTTGAAATTCATATACATGACAAATGTAACCTTAACTATTCAAAAGTTACCTTATTCCGTGCTCAGCAACGGGAGTCGTGACATCAGACTAAACAAATGGAGAGCATGCTTTAGATGTGAACTTATAGTGTCCTTCTAAATGAGCTACAAGTACTTAAGGGTGCCACCTTCGCTAAAGCAAGCGACTAACAAACTCTGGACCAATCCGTTACCATTCCTAGACCTACCTGCGCCTGTGAGACTAAGAGGTAATCTACTGTAAACGCAGGGTCTATGTAAAATGTTGAATATGCGATTGGTAGACAAACGCTCACTGGTATTATCGCGATGGGGACAGCGTGTGCGCAAAACCGCTAGTTTCAAAACTAATGGTTGCATTGGGCCTGTGGCTCAAACTGGGGACAATTCTGATTCCTGACCATGTGTGATTTCATTCGCCGTCATTGAAAACGAATTGTGCCCACTGTCTTCCCCTAGTTGATGATAAGCAGGTTAGTGTAGTTTGGAACTTAAGCAATTATCTCGTTGTCAGCATTCTTGACCACTGCTTAAGTGAACTGGTGCGCAAGCAGGGATTAGTTTGTCCAATTCTCATGGACTTTTTAATTCTGGCATAAACTCATTGTCCAATTATTGTGTTTTGAGGGGCGACTCATAGCACAGTATGGGCACCTGGTGTGCAGGCTTCCTTGCCGAGCTCTTTTCTTGGGTCGGTTGCACCAGATGTACATATGGCCACTTATCGTGACAGTTACTTGCATGGCGAAGTTGACAAGTCAACGGATAAGTGATGAAATGAAAACAAACTCGGGCTTTAGCTGCATTAAACTATTTGCTATGGCATTCTGAGTTTAGTCCGAACAGTTACGGAACTAGTGAAAGCCTATAAGTTATACCATTTGATTAGGCTAAGGGAGCGTCATTTGCATTGCGACCACGAACACCTTCAGGCACTTTTTAGATGCATTATGAAAGCCCATTTCTTAGCACCAAGTTGCTCTGCGCGTCACCCATACTTGAGCACTAGCAAACAGAGGAAAATAGTAACCATCTCGAGGTAGAGCAGTTGGTTAAGAAGGAGAATTGTATTACTTGGTTTCAGCTATGGTGTTTGGTCCATATTATAGTTTTCTGCAGTAAGGACCTGAACCTTGAAGTTCGGAGTGACAATTATTTGCAAGTGCTTTGGGCTGTGAGTCTACATGGGGCAAACTGGACCAACGGAACTATCCTATTAAAGCTGCACTGATTCACAAGCCATCCATTTTAACGGCACTCTAGCTTGAGCTACGAAGTTTATATACACATTATCAAGTCACACAAATAGGTACTGAAACGAGCTGTTGACACAGTGATGTGTAACAAAGAAAGGTTGGCCATGAAAGCCGCAGTGGAACCCACATGAAGTTCAACGGTAACGCAAACCGTGACAGGGCGATGATTATGATTATGATTATGACCAGAATCTGCCTGCTTTCGATAACCGCTGTTTCCAGAACACCGCTAATGTGTGTTGGCAGCACTGCATTAGTAACGACGACGTTCGACGTCGAATTTTCAATGAAGACAGACTCTGCCAGGCAATGAGCTACACTATTTCCCTGTGGCTCGGGCACGTCCTCCGTGTGTCTGCTCAACGGTTCCTCTGCCGCGTTTTGCTTGTATGCACTGGCGCTGATTGGAAGCGACAGAAAGGTGGCCAGCACATGGCCAGGGTCCGAGATGCAAAGGCGCTGGCATTGTATTTGGCCACATTGGGACGTTCCCGACACACGGCTTGGAGGCCCAGGGACAGTGAACACGTCTGGTTCGAAGCGCTAGCGGGTATGTCTCTGTTGCTAGACTGTTCTCTCCTGGTTGCCTTTTCTCCCATCACTTTTACTATCACCCATGTGCTGTTGCACTCTGCCAACGGTCCATTAGTCATATATATATATATATATATATATATATATATATGCAATAGCAAATCAATGAACACCCAGAGGTGCCCTACCACCGTCAGAGACAATGCGTGGCGCTCCTGCTCTACGCCAAGCGAGCTGTGAGCTTTTAACCCGTAGACCTGTTGTCTCCCTTGGCTAGATTTTACGAGAAGAAGGCCATCGACCACTTACTAACTTCCGAACAAGATGATAAAGTCATATACAGGCATGTTAATGGCCTTCGTTAGGTGTAACGCGGAATTCCTGTACTGATCACGACTGACGGGTACACGTGATCAGCAACGGAATTAGCTGATCTTTTACGGGCCCCATTACTCACACACATGTTGGATGGTAATGGGCCCAACGGTTAGCACTCTTTTTATTTTCCCACCATCAGCTTTATCCAGTATCACGTTTACTGCAGAAACTGTGGCAAAGCAACTGTTTTCTCTGCGTATCTACAGCTCTCTTGGTGTCGATAACATTCGACCGTGGGCTTTATACTCAGCAGCAGCTACTGATCTGGCGAATCTTCTTGCAATATTCTATCAGCGCTGTATGGAGGAGGACCATATTCCAACAATATGAAAGCGAAGGGTCATCACTACTATGCATAAGGGAGTCATACTGACCCAACTAATTATCGTCCTATAACGCTACTCCCTATGCTTTCTAAACTTATGGCCTCTATCATCGCTAATGCACTCATGCAGTATCTGGAAACCCACAAGATGATGGCATCGTAGCAACGTAGCTTTCGACAAAAGTGCCCATGCACTACGAATCTGTTACTTGCACGCAATAGCTGAAGTGAAACAGTTGGTGGCGGAACAGGAGTCGATGTCATTTACCCGGACTTCTCAAAAGCATTTGATCTCTTGAACTACCAAATTCTTCTTCATAAACGTTAGCATTATTGTATTGGTGACCCACTGCTGCATTGGATAGGTCATTTCCTGGACGAACGTCGGTTGGTGAGAATAGAAGAATCACTGTCCGACGCAACTGAGGTAGAGTGCGGCGTACCACAAGGCTCGGCTCTCGTATACGCATATCGCTCATGCAAGAGCATGGTCACTTTTGTATATATTGATCCGTGCCGCCACAGACACAATTTATGGGTCATCAGAAATGAACGTATTAATAGTACTGTTGCTATATATCTATAAAGGACAACACAAACTGACGGAAAAGACGAGTGAGACCTCAGTTACTCCTGCTTATAACACAAGACGCCAGATCACTTTCAGTCAAACGGTGAAGATACAGTTGGTCTAAAGTCTATAATAAAGACAAAGGAGAGCACATTCCAGGCCGATTTAGGAGGCAGATGTAAGGGGTGTACTTCAGCACCTTTATGGGTCATCAGCCTAGCAATGTGTGTCACGATAATCTGCTTATTTTTTGATCCTGTGTAGACGACCCCACACCGAGGTGGTCACTTGTGAGCCGAACTTGATAGGTGCGGCCGCAGCAATGTACATCGAATCGAACAAATCTATTAGGCGTAACTGGAAGAAATTTGTTCACCTGCCTTGACCGTTTGTCAAAAGGATGTGGGTGTGAAGTTGAACACAACCACTGCTCGTAACCAAGGACACATGAGTACCATACTTCATGGCTACATACTATCGACACTGTTCAAATAATTAACAGTTTGCAATCTAAGGAATAATCTAAATTATTTACTGTTAAATGTGTGCCAATTTTCAGTGATTACTGCCCTCTGATTTATGAGATGGGCATCTTACTAAACCAGTTATCGCTAAATCCTCAAGCGCTTTTCAACACATGAATCGTCACACATGCATGCACATGTATAGAGGATTGTCTCTGAAGTGACTCACCGACGTGTTTGTGATGCCTAACGGCTGTGACAGCTCCCAGACGCCCCATAATCTGCACACCCTCAGACGTTCCAGAAGCACTTGATAGTTGCCTGTACATCGGGTGTGTCAGGCAGTTGTCCTCGAACTGACCATAATCCCACCATTCTCTCTTGTGTCTCTCATGCATTTTAAACATATATCTGGGAGTCTCATGAGGATCTGCATCAGTTAGCCTCAGGTTATCTGTCTTTCCCTCGACGACAGGCGAGCTTCTTCCTATTGAAGGGACGCTGGGGAACCTCGAATATGGAGTTTCGGCGGATGGGTTTTGCGTTCTCCTTTCTGACTGATGAGCAGTGACGTACAAACACATAACAGACAGGTAAATCCACCAAAATAACAACTGAGTGTATTTCCCAAAGCTCCGTTGCGAACTGTATGGCAATTTTGGTTGCTTGATGAGTGCGTTGTGAGAGACGAAGGTGACCCCCCTCGATGACTGGGGTGCATGAGCCGTCCCGAGTGAAATAGCGCAGTTGATTTGTCGGCTGCATGTATGCAGAAGCACAGTACTAGATAGTTTCGGTTGTTGAATACTGGGAGCACCTTTAACTCCCTTAAAATAATAAAAGCTGCTTGATAGACATGTTGGGGAAGTCGAAGTTCGATTATTAATTCCGAAAGTGCAACACCAGACATAGCGTATTATTAAGACTAGTTGTTTGGGAGGATGACAACGGACACAAGTACAAGTGATGTTCACAGTACGCGTATCCCAGGGCAGTACCGCTGTCACCACCACTACCACCACCACGAGTACAACTGTCGATGAGGACCAACCCGAGTACTGTGGATATGAGCGAGTGAACGCATTCCACATTGACTTTTGACTGTACTCCGCAGCAGGCGCCGTTCTCGAAATGGCGGCAACAATTCGCCAACGCAGGCGCCACAGGCTAGACGTCAAATTGTTCCATCTTTCACATTCAGTCTCCACGATCGCAGCCGAAAATGCCGGTAGGCGATTCACAGCTGATTGTGTAGCATTAGCGGCAGTAATAACAGAGAAGGTCACTCTTGGCCACGTCAAACTCAATTTCAACTTTTGAAAACTCGCCATGGCTCCAGTCGCTTAGCTTAAGGACGCCAGTGTCTGACTGGTGTGTCCAGTTTTGGCGCCAGCCTGATGTCGCCAAAATTACCGTGGTTGGCGCCAGCTGACCACTCCTATTTTTGACGAATTCGCTTTTGCGTTTACAGGAAAGTACGAGTGCCCCCTAGCGATACGGCGTGATTGCTCCAACCCCCTGTCCACCACCCAAAGACAGCAACGTTTCTCGTTCGTGCATGTCTGCTAAGCCAATCGGCTTACCTCACAGCCGTCCATCCACCCACACGCCGTGAAACTGTTGGTCGTTTATGCTACCGTTCCCTGGGCTGTTCCGTCTCCTTTAACTCTCATTCATTCAATCTCTCTGTATCGCTTTTTCTCACTTTACTTGACGTTCTACAAACGAGAGGTTTTTGAAACTCACACTGATTCGCTAATCTGTAGGGGTACACGCTGATGAGAAGATTGCACAGAAAATAGGTGTGAAATCTTTCGAGCCATGTGTCACACACACCGCAGCAGCCCGATCGCTCTTTGTGGGAGGGGGATGGACAAGGGACATTAGGTTACATTCATTCCACGCGTCTGCCCCAGCAACCCATTGGGTTGGTAGCGAAAGATAGTGAGCAAAGCGCGGTAAGACACAACACCGATGACAGGTCCATGAGTGGCTCGTGCATAAGCAGTTAACAAACTGATGTGGCCAATGCTCACATATAAACAATGGGTCGGTAAATCAAGGGCCAAACAAGATTCGGTTTCTGTGGTCCGATGGCTCCAAAAACGAGCAGCTGACTCCGTTGCTTTTAGGCCCTGTCGACAACTGACCAATCGAGACAATAGCACATGACGGTCATACATCAATTGTGGTGAGAGTTCATGCCACGGTGGGGGTTGTCGCAGACTGTGATGCTCTTCGCCTGACACGCTCCAGTTTCCTTACACCAAACGTTGATTTTGTCATTGAAGAATTACTCTGATTAAACCGTAAGACCGTGATATCACTGAATCCGCGGGTTTCATTTTGCTGTGTTCTAATTTCGTGAACGGTCCAATTTGTTGCGGTCTTAGAACAGATCGTTTGGTCTGGATTTCCAGACCTTTAGTAGGGTCTTCACTTATCGGCTGATAGGTGTTCACATCTCCGAGCAAATCCTGCGCCTTCTTAATGTTGTCACTATTGCCCATTATAACTGTAAGACTTCCCTTGTCGGCCGGTAATATACATCCTTTACATGAAAGATAGTCTGCCGCTTATATATATATATATATATATATATATATATATATATATATATATATATATATATATATATATATATATATATATATAATGATCCCAGCATCCTTACAGGCCGTCCTAGTTGTTCCGAATCTTAGTCGGAACAAAAGAAACCCTATTCACGGGTAATAGCACACAGAGAGTAGCCAATCGTATTTGGTTAGGTACGGCCTAAGTGACCTAGGCGCCAGACATTGCACACGCAAACTGAGGCTGAGTATGAAACACGTAACCTTGAACGACTGTACGGAGACCCAGTAAAGAATGATTGACCGATTGCAAGACTTCCTTTACTGATTCAGTCAAAAGCAAATCACGCCTTCAACGCCTTCATACTTATAGCTCAGTCCGAGATAAGAAGGCTAAACAACCTACAAATAGAGGCTGGTTTAGGAAACCACGCTTTCCTTGACCGGTGGAGGCAACTCGCCAGACAAAGTTCCAGTGACCCACTCGGTAGTGTGAAGGTAGACAAGCGCAACACAGAGTCTGAATTCCTCTCATCTAACACACCCCGTACGTTCCTTTCCAATCACTGATCCCCCACCTTATTTGACCACGTCAGTGTTTACAAGGAACTCACAAGACTAGAACCAGACAAGGCTAGTGGCCCTGATGTCCTGTCACCAATCGGTCTGAAACAGTGTGCGGATGCATTACAATCACATATAACAGAGGTTTTTAACCAATGTTCAACGACTGGTACTATCTCTGACATTTGAAAAGCAGGCAGAATAACGCCTGTGTTTAAGAAGGAATCACAAAAGTAACAGCTCACAGGGTGCACCTCCGTGTAGCTGAAGGTGTTTGAAAAACTATTAATTTCCCAAATCTTTACAAGCAACCATAAGGATAATTTCAAACATTTTGCATACAAGTCAGAGGGCTCTAAACTGGATGACGTTTCGCATCTTGTCGATTCCATTGCATCTGCTTTGGATAAAAATGCAAGACTATGCTGCTCCTACTCCTTGAGTATACTAATGCCTTTAGGAGCCTCGACAGATCGTTTCTACTGAATCTTTTGTTCGAAAACAGCATTAACCCATACGCGTCTGATGTAATGCGTGACTATTTTCCGAATCCTACACACTTCACGCAGTCCTATGGTCGAAAACTTTTGCAATCCCAGTCAATTGTGGGGTACTGCAAGAAGCTATTCTATCCCCCTTTCTGTTTTCTCTTTATGTTGAATATCTGTCTATAGCAACCAGTTTTTCGGTGGTAAATAAGCTTATAACATCATGCTGACGTGTAGAACGCAAGGAATTGTGGCATCTCGGAAATTTCAACAGGCTTGGTTGGAACTTTTGACCTGATGAAACTCCTAGTACCTCCCCTTCCGAGTGTTGGACGTCGCATTCACTTTTTCTGCCCCGACAGACTACTTTCATCTTCAGCTACCATGCTTTGGTAATGAGTGACCAAATAAGCCCTCGTTTCCATTCTATAAGGTAGCTCAGTACTGTTTGTCTTACAATTTATCCTCGACACATACTTGAAACATTACAAACTCAGAAGACTATTCGTTTAATCCCCCGGGCTAAAAATGCGCTCCGTACCTCATACTCTAATTCTAAGTTTCGTAAATGCCTGTATCCTCCCTAGCAGTTATACTGTTCCTCTGTTATTTTCGCAGAGTTCTCCTAAAGAATTGTACCGTTCGGGTGCGCTGAGTAAGGTTTATTTCCCGTGGCTATGGATTAAGCAAAGAATCCCTCGTTGCTTTTGTAGGTAGCAAGTATTTTAGCACATTTTAACCTTTCATTCAAGATTCTAAACGATCCCTCTCGCTCTCTAAACTATTTTAGCCGGTATGGCTTTTATTTTTTTCCACGCGGTAGAAATCTAGTTTTATTTCTTTGTACCTCATCGTACCGTAACTCCATCTTTCCTTATCTCTCGCTTGTTAGCCGATCTAAAAATAATGGGGCAGCAACTGTGAGACCGGGCTCGTTATGTTTTTCTTGTCGCGTTGTATCTTTTTCTACTTATGTTATATTATATCCTATTCGCAGTTAGTGCGAATATCAGCAAATGCTTCCGCACGGATGTATAAAATTTATCGACTTGATAGCACCATAACATATAAGTAAATTGTTAGTATCCTGAGGAAAACTCAGTTGAGATCAGTGTGGCTTGGTGCGGTAGCACCCGCAGTATCCGGAGGAGAGCTCAGGTCGCTACGAATTGAGACGGTAGATACAACAATGTCCTGAAGGTAGCTTGTTTGTTACCTGCGCAGTCTGAATAGCCACACGGTGACCATGTGCCTAAGGTTAGTTTGATCAAAATCTGCACAAACCGAGATTAAGCGACAGATGCGGAATACATTTAACATATAGATACACTTATAAATACTGTGAGACGAGCGCTAGATGGGACGTATACCTCCCATTTAAAGTATATCCATGGTGCTCGTCTCCGATGCGAAGTAAGCGATAGCTACGATTTGCAAAAATATAACATGATTACGTATCGTCAATTCCTCCTATGTGCTCTACAACATATGCACGAATAATAACAAGGAATCTGCCGCCCTAGTTTCCGGAACGTGAAAAACTACTTCTAAACAACAAAGCGAAATGCAGATGGCAGGTTTTCATACGTGACATGTACTGAAGAGTCATACGTTCTGTTTTACACCTTTGAAGACTGTGATAGGCGATGATGGAAGTTGGATTAAAATTATTGCGAGAGACGGACCGGTTGAACACAGATATTGCTGTGTAAGTATGATAAAAATATTGAATCTGCTGCCAAAACTAAATCACGGCCACATTCCATATAAAATTAACCACGAAGGCAGCAATATTGTAAACTTAACGCCTCAGAGTAACTATGTACGTAAAATGAATGTGTCAGTCGTAACGATTAGTCTGGGCAAACGACCATAATCGAAGACATAAAGGTTTAATTTGCTTTTGACAAGCAAGGGCTGTGGCCACGAGCAGCTACTTAAGTATACAAGAAATTCGCAAACAGAAGGTTAATTTTTTGTTTGCCTGAATCATAATGAAAACGGTTAATTATATTTTTGGGGCCATCAATCCTGACAAAGTTCTGCCTCTCGGACGAAGTTACTTGACCCGCACCAGCAAGCATACTACGACCTCGTGGCTCATTTTAGCATATGCGTGGAATTGATGTGCTATGATTTTTTTGAATGAAAAAGATACAGTAAATACTAGTGTATGCAAGCTCTCTTCCGGTATACCAGGCAATACTCCCCGCTCATGAGTGTCGCAGAATTCGTTCCTTCGCGAGACACAAGTCTGGCCTGATGAAGATGCTTCAGCCCGAGAAGAAATCTCCTTTGATTTGCGTCTCTCCAACACCCCACTAATAGTTTACAAAATGTGTGAAGGTATCGTGCAAGCCAAATAATAATTGTAAAGTAGTATGTACGCTTATGAAGTTGTTAGCTGGAATTCCGGTTAGTCGAGTGACGCTACCCACAGTGTCGTAAGATAGGTTAAAAGCTCTTCGACTCTTAGTTCTTCATGAAAGCTAATGTTTTTGGTCGGAAACTCGATCAGCTTCCCCAAAGCACCGCTAGGGTCTGCAGTTTACAAGCCTGCTTACATGTTGTGGTCCACAGATAAAGGATGCTTGTAGTGTTACCATAATTGACATCTTTGCTTCACCGGTGTCTAATGAATCAATCCCCAATTACTTCATTCAAAAGGAAGCCACACAGGATCCCATATTATCTACATCTAACACTTACAATGGCAGCTTAAGTAACCTATACAGTTAAGTCCTCTGTTCTTATAGACCCAAAAACTAACAACACAACACCCAACCCAAGTGCTTTATCCTTGTTTCTGCACAGCGATGCGAGGCGAAAGTCAGCAATCATG